AATGCACTTGCAAATGCTAACAGCAATAGCGGAGGTTATGGAGGAAGTGATTGGGCTAATGCACTTGCAAATGCCAACAGCAATAGCGGTGGTTACGGAGGAAGTGATTGGGCCAATGCACTTGCAAATGCCAACACTAATAGCGGAGGTTATGGAGGAAGTGATTGGGCCAATGCACTGGCAAAAGCTAATGCCAATAGTGGAGGTTATGGAGGTAGTGATTGGGCCAATGCACTTGCAAACGCTAATGCTAACAGCGGAAGTTTTGGAGGGCTCGGAATTTTCCGAGACGGAGGGAGTGGTAGCGAGGCAGCGGCAAGTGGTCAGGCAAGTGCAGTCAGTTATCCTGAATGGTCGAGCGCAGTCGTAAATGCAAATTCAATTTCCGCTGGAGATCATTCAAACTCTGCAGCAAATTCTAACTCGGCTAGCGGAAGTCTAGGAGATTGGTCAAATGCGGCGGTAAGTGCTGTTTCAAATACTGGAGATTCCAAAGATAAGAGTGAGGCAGCGGCAAGTGCTGCAGCAAACGCAAATACTGCGGGTTATGGGGGATCCACCGCAACGGCAAATGTTGCTGCAGTTAGCGTAGACAGAGAAGAGAGAAGGAAAAGAAGTGTCCCAGTAAGAATGAATTAACTCAATCGTGTAAGTATTATAGAATATCTTAGAATATAATACTATGATTATTTTTCAATATATGTACCAAAGTAAATTTGAGAGCCCTCCTCCACGACACTAAGTAGTGAAATTTTTTACAGGTTATTATCGGTTCACTCCATTGATCTCGAAACGAAAACAAAGGATTGCTACAAGGACTTAGCCAGAATAGTTTTAGTATTTAAGCTAGCATATCTGACAATTTTGTACGCCTCATACTTATAAATAAATACAGTTTAGTGGGATAACAAGCCATTTCATTTAATCACCTAGCAACTAGGTAGCACAAAAGTTGCTTCGGAAGTAAAAAGACTACTTCGTAATTTAAAGCTATTATATAAATGATGTAATTAAAAAAATATATCATGGCAAATGCCATTCCATTTCGGTTTATTATTTCTGTCCATGTGGTTTCCGAATCGGAATGGGGATCAATAGTTCTTCGGAACTGATCGGAAAAAATGTAGCAATTTAAAAATTTCTTCCCAGGGGCCTTACCATAAACTCTTATTACGATTCAGTTTAGGACCTAAAATGAATCGTTCTGAGGCAGCGCTACATGAATTGTCCTATATCACGCGAATGCAAACCTATACTGAACTGTAATAAGAGTTCACGGTAAGGCGCCAGATCTAGCTGTTTGAACCAGCGTCTGTAGAGGTATAAACTGTTGTGAGAAAACTGAAGAAAACTATTTTAGAATTAAAATAAGAAAGAAATTTATATTAGAAATTCTGAGGATACATTGTTGTACAGCAATGGCCTTATATTAGAAATTCTGAGGATACATTGTTGTACAGCAACGGCCACAAGCTCAGAGCATATGAAAAAAAATTTGTATATGAACCTTCAACCTCGTCTTAGTAACAATTGCGATAAGCAAATCAAGACTACTTAGAACCTAACGCGAACAAGTCCAAGAATTATTTTAAAAAATCAAAAACCGGACTGCAATTTTTAGCTGGTTTATTGCCTCTTACTATTTGGATTTTTTTTAATAGCCTATGACTCCCACAATCAAGATGGATCTAACGACACCTGATATGTCAAAATCCATCAAGCCGTTTAGACTGTACAGCGTGAAAAAGAAACGGATATACATAAATACAGTCGAAAAATATAACCCTCCCGCAGTCGGATAAAAAGAATAAATTGAAAAGCTTTCAAAGTACAGTGAAGATCGGTGTCAAAAAGACGAAAATGGCATGTTTCACAATGCAATTTTTAAAGTGGTAATTTGTAAGGAATGTTTAAAGAAGCTTTGAGGGATCCAAAGCTTCTTTAAACTTTCTAGGCTAACATTAGGAATGAAAAAAAGTGTTGTTTTAACATACGCTAGAACAACCCCTTTTATTGCCTCAATACTAACTACAATCTGTCTCAGCTTTTCAAAATCGTTAAAAAGATCCAAAGCAATCTGAAAATGAAAACGGCCACGAAAAGCAAATTATTGTCATCAAATGCACTAAATAAGATTCGATGAAAATCACTTTTATGACAGTCCCATGAATTCTCGTACTTAGAAGCTGGTGGTAAAAACTACCTCTTCGGTTTTTTACTTAATACATGCAATTACAATTATTAAGTAGGTATTTCAAACATACTGTTGATTTATGCTCCAAGATCCTAAAACTATTTCATGGACTCTTCGTGTAGTTCTAGGTATACGTTATAACTTTCTGACTCGACTTTCATGTCATAATTAGAAAGAAGACAGATAGTTATTGTAAGATTATTTATTTGCTGCTGGATCGGTCATAAATTATCGGAGCGGGACAGCGATATTGCGCTCTCCCTCACTTGCCAGTTGGGTACGAGCAGGTACTGGCCTTTTGTTTAAACAATTTTATAAACAATAAGCCTTTAGCTAACGACTATAAACAGTATCAAAAGCTGGTAGCGACTTTCTTGATTTCTACAGTGTAACGACATAGGAATATCGCGCTAGCAAAAGGAGTTGTAAGGATACGGGTACAAATCGACACCGTTTTTTAAATCGGTTTAGTAAACCATGTTTCTGTACGACAGAAATCAATAGGTAGAGATAGGCCAAACTAAGCAGCACAGCATTCCAGTCTTCTTGGTCTTGCAATGCGCACGTGTTTTATTGTGGACGCTTAGTTTTAAATATAGTTTTTAATATTGGATATCTTCTGCGTATAAAAAACGGTATTGCACTTTGAAAAAAAGTTAAAGGTAATTAAGGTGTATACAAAGATTTTATGCCACCGACAATTTTAGGAAAATGATACGTTTGACATTCATATCTTATAAATAAATATAATTACATGAATTTAGTAAAACTGTGTATACTTGTCATATAGAAAATGAGAAAATTGTATAGTTTAGTTTGTGGTCGTGAGTCCACCCCTTAACTATAAATCAGCTTACAAATTGACATCTGTAAAAATGATTCGGCGTAACCAATTGTGTACAGGTAATAAATACCAGTAACATCCGAGAACAAATCAAACAAAAGTTAAAGCGAGGTGTCAATCAAATTCAACGCAAATCAATTAGCTACGAGTTATAAGGGCCGATATGCGGTGCACAGCTTCAATCTCGGCAAATGCTGCGTCTGCCACGATAGAGCTGCCGCAGCGCATTACACCCACCGTTGGGCCCCAGAATGCGCGCTGGCTCCATCGGAATCCTTGGCTGCGTGCTCGCGTCCTTAGCAATTAGCGCTGGAAACAACGCGGCCATTTCTAACGATCTCAGTAGTACAGGCAAGTACTTAGTCACAATTTGGTAATCTGGTGTCATAAATTCTTTCATAACCATCACTGCGATCGCGGCCTGCGGCGGTAACCTGACAGACCCTATATTGCAAAATGGACTCTTGCGATTGACTCAATTGTGTTATCCACAACAATTTTATTTAATTCTGCAAACAGCAAGAGCCATCCACGTGAACAAAAGATGCGTTTTTATTTTCAATTAACTCTTTTCCAAAATTTTAATGTGTCGTTTTTAGATGTTTATTAAAGTCAGTATTTTTATTTTATTATTGGGTTTTAGTATCTAAACAGCAAAGCCCAAACAAAGACGAGATTTCTCGAGATGGGATATCAACAGAGACTTCGGAAAGTGAAGGTAATGTACATAAATAATAAACACTACAGGCTAATTGCTTATTAATATATATTAATAATAATAACAGTAACATACTACATAAATTTAATTTTTCTTGCAGTAACTACAAGCTCTCCAGAATATTCAAGAAGTGCGGCATACGCAGTCGCTTCCAGCGATGGCAGTGGATCCTCTCAGGCAGTGGCTCAAGCTACAGCTACAAGCGGAGGAGATAACACACTCAATCCAGGAATGGGCGGTAGATACCCACAGTACCCACAATACCCCCAGCCAAAAGGCTTGGGATATGATCCGTCTCAATTAGTAAACTATAACCCTCAAACGTTAACTTCCGGACCCATACTACATAATGCACAGGCCCGACCAAATACTCCAGGGGGAATGAACCCTTACAGTCTACCGTTGAACTGGAATACAAAATATCCAGGAGCAGGTCCTAATTTGTATCCAAACACGGGTTTCAATTTTGCACCACAAGTATCAAATGCACAGGCACAGGCTTTTGGAACATCAAGCTCCGCTCAGGCTCAAGCTCAAGCAAATGTATTACAGCAAGCGTATCCAACTACGCTACAACAAAATTATCCGTGGGATAACGCGTATAATAACATGAGTCCTGGATACGTTTCTGTTCAACCGCAAGATGTACCTGATAGTCCTGCTCAGACGGTAGGCCAAGGGTATTATCAGTATGGTCAAGCGTACCCACCTCAGCCGGTGCTACACAACCCCGTATACACCGGGCCGGTTTCCGGTTTCCCAGATTATGGTTCGGCTCAAATTCAGCCCAATGCTCTGAGTGTAAGACGAAACACTGAGTCTATGCAAGCTCTCTTGAACGAAGGACCATACCTCACTACTCGACGCTATGAGCCAGCGCAGAACGAAGCGAAACAAAGTTATTTAGCTTACCCGCGGTCCGCGCAGAACGTAAGATCAAACATGAGAGCGTTTGGCCCAATATATCAAAATGTTGGTTATAACGCTGGTTCCATAGAAGCGCAATCGGATCTGCCAATCTACAAAAATCTGCCAATCTATGCTCCTGGAATTAATGTTGTAACGCAGTCCAGCTCATTGCCCGAAAACTTTGGATACACTACAAGTGAGTACGTTTTACGTCTATTGATGTACTGAGGTTAATTATACAAATATTTATTAATACAACGGATAATCGAAAATCGAAGCAAAATACCTATCAAAATCTAACAAGAGCATACCGACGTCGCGACTATGCTACATTAATAACTATGAACAAGCTCGCGGTCATATATAGAAGGACGGAAAGTTGGGATATAGAGTATCACTACTATTCAGACCCTGGAAAAATATGACACAAACATTTAAAAGAAGTTGAAACTGCTAGTCCGATACAACATTGTCATGTGAATTTCTAAAGCCTAATTGTCTCGAGTAGAAGCTATTCAGACGGTCTGAAACATTTACTGTGCCCCACTTTCCACGGCTCTATAATTAATAATGTGGTAGACAAATAGTTCACAAACTGGATTATCGCATAATCCCATTTTTATAATGTCCCGAGCAGAAGCTAGTTCATATAGTATTGGTGGGATAAGATATCAAGCAAAATCAAACGGGATAATTTGTAGCAAAGCAAACAGATAAAGCGCTACATTGTCTCTGCAGGTCCGGCGAACGCATTCTCGAGAATTGTTCCCGAAGAGGAAGTAATCTATCCAGATGAAATACCAGGTGAGTGAAGCCCAACGTAAATATTAATAATATTGGTATCCAGGTATGTAAAAATTAAATACCATTCACACAGACTGCAGGTTAATGATTTTGTTCCGTAACAAAGCACAATACACATAGTATTAGTGAATTAAATTGTTTAAAGTTAAAGCAGTACTGTATGTTGATTGTATGACAGGCGCAGAAAACAGTGTAGTATGTGGCCGAATCGGCGAGCTACACCACTTATGGATGGCGTCGTATCAGTGCCTAGTATGTGTATGCGCCGAGGATCGCGGACAGTTGCGTCCAGCATGCGCGCGCTGCGCAGACTGTCGCACCCCGGACTCCTTGCGGCCCGAATCAACACAAACTATCAGCCCATTGATTGTAGAAACTCAATCATCCTCGGAATCACCAGGTTATATATCTGAATTGTCATATTGTGTGACAATTTGAATAAACTTTTTAAAATAACGAACATGTTTGTCATTTCGTCTTTCAGCGTCCTGCAACCCTTTACCAGTGAACAAAGAGTTTCAGAACCCATTGAATCCCTGTCAAGTGTGCGTTTGCCAGCAGACTAGCCGGCACGATGTGAAGATCACCTGTCAAGAAAGTCCACAGTGCGGTAAGTGCAGTGCCATCGTTAGCAACCGTGGGAAGGTTGCGCTTTGCATTTAAACAATATTTGCTGTTTCAGTAATACCCGCGAATGTGCCGACAATACGTAAGTATTAACCACTATCAGACAATTTGTTCAAAAACTGATTTGGTTTACAAAAACAGCTATTACATTGATACGTGGTATTAATCCAATCAAAATTCATTGAATGTCTTGCAAAAAATGGCAAAACAAAGTTTTTTTTACTTAACCATATCTTATTATTAAAATCAAATAACTACCTGCGTCCAAACAACAAAATGCTAATTCAATTTAATATTTTTCAAAACCAAATGCAAACATCCACAACATTCAAATACTCAAAAATAATTTATAACTGACATAATAAAACCTCATATTATATAAGTTACAAATTGGTACATGAGAGAGTTTGTATCGAATTTAGTTTTTCGAATAGCCGGATAAAATGGTTGGATATGGTATCGGGGTTTCTATAAAGGGACTCTAAATCTTATTTGGCTAAGTACAATCGGACAGTCAGTTTGATTTTGTAATAACTTGAATAAAAATAAGATCTAATCTTTCCCTACGGTTCATCAGTCTTAAAATGTAATCTTCCTACTTCCTTCAAGACCTCCATCTCACCTGACGGAAAGTGATGACAAGGTCGACGATAATAAACAAAAAATGCCTATTCACTCTCGCCTTAAAAAGGGCGAACTTATAGCGCTCAGGGAATAAGTCTGCAGGCAAGGAATTCCTCTCCATAGCCCTTCGCCGTATAAACGTGGAAGTGTGTGTGTAGCCCCAAAGAAGAAGTGGAATTAAATCGTGCAATTCCATCGCACACTCTCCTTGATATGTCCTATAGAATGCCAACAAGCAACCGGTGTTCAAGGCTTCTACTAAATCCGAGTCACCGATAAGTTTCTTTGCACGCTACTCAACGGAATCCAAAGTGGGATCAGTTGGTATTTGGCAGGTCCATCCCATAGGTTGCAGCAGTACTCCATACACCACCGGATTGTGCTTGGTAAAATTGTAGCAACCTTGGAAAGGATACCAAGCTTCCTAGATGCATTCATGTCCATGGACTCAAATGTACCTGCACAAACTTAAGCTGGACGACTCCAAGTAGCTGGAGACTAGAGTAGAGGATAAGCTATCAGTATGGATATATCACGAAAAGTCGGAGTCACGTCAAGATACTCTGTTTTGTGGCGAATAGACACAATAGACACTGCGTTTTGGTAGCGATACATTTAACAAGATTGGCATGGCCCAATCGGAGACTGCCTTGAATATCAATCCCAACGACTATACATGGACTCTCGATGAGATATTCAGTCAAACATGTTACTAATATTACAACATCTTCGTTCATTGGAGTCCAAATGTTTAAACAAACTCTCTATGAAACATGTTTGGTTAGTAGTAGTCGATCAAAATTTCAAAGAATCAATGCTAAGGATAATTAAGTACTTTTTAAAATAGCCCCGTAGTAACACACATATTAATGACTTAAGTATCTTTGCAAAATAAGATCATATAGAGATCGCTCTATAATTAGTGATTAATTTTTGATCACCAGATTTACGCACTGGTGCTACCTGGGTTGATTTCGAAATATCAGGAAAATTGCCTGTGTCTAAACATTTGTTAAACATGAACGAAGAGGTATAACTATATGACATGCACTGTCAGCAATGAATATACCAGGACCAGTCTGAATACACCAGTCCCGCTCCTCCACATTTTTCTTTCAGATTATCCAAAATTGCCATACCATGCCCCCAATGGGATAATTCACCGCTGAAGAAAAAAAATCTGGAACACCTTTCGAGCCGATGTATCGAACAGAAAAGAGAAGCTTCCGCCGAATTCCTCCTAAGAGATGTTACCCGCGAACAACGCCACAGACAATCTATCCATTCATCCAGATGAAGCTCCCAAGTCCTATTACCCAAACCCGCTAGAATACAGGGCGATTCCAGGTTTACGTATACTACTTTACAGAAAGTACTTGGCAAACTAATTGGCGGCGTCTGACATGGACATATTAAAGAAAAGCTATAATTTACATGAAGCTCGACTACAGAAGTAGAATCGACTTTATTGGTGCGCAGCACTAGTATTCCGCGTTACCATACAAGAAAAATTAGCCAGGGTTGGTGTTTTAAAAAATAAGTCAAACTAAAGGGACCCATTCACGATATTGATTTTATAGAAAAATCGTTCACCAACAAGTAATAAAAATGTGAAGGGTTTAAATAATAGATTACGCCAACACTAACGAGCTTCAAATAATTTACCTAATTATTCCTAAAGTACAATGTCAAAGTGACATTTGGTACATTAATGGTGAAAAATGCCAAGGAGAGAAGAGAAATTTTGTTTTTGTATTGAATTTACGAGATCTACCAAAAAAAAAGTGTTACAGTTTCAAGCTTTAGTTCTAATACAATTTGATCAATTGCATATACTGTTAGACTAGGTATCAGTGTTATGGTCAAGAGTATCATTGAAATACTGTGTTTGACTGGACCTCGCCGTCATTATAGATTGCTTCAAATTGCTTCGCAAATAATTCACTAATCTCCACGCTGCTAAACCCTATTTCAATGTCACTTTATGACCTGGTCGATACGTCAATGTCATAGAGATCTTTTTATTCCGTTTCTGCTCTGGGCTATTCTTTACGGACATTCTTTCGATCGAACCCGATTAATAGCTACAGTGATAGCTGTCAAATCACGACAATACAAGTTTCGTCGAACGCATCCTATACAATTTTAGAAATGTTTTAACATAATTGTACCTCGGTAAACAATTTGTACCAAAACTGAATACCTCATTTTTTATTTCAAAATCGGGACTTAATGCTGTATAAAACATATTTGTTACTCTGTTTTAAGAGTCTATACAACCTCAAATGGCTTTGGTTGATTCCCCTTAGCTGTGAAAGTGTTGAATCGATTACTTTAGAAAAAATATATAGTAAAATTGAGGATATGTACTGATTAGTATGCCTCTGTCGCTGAATATCACATTCGCAAAATATCATGTTCGCAAATATGGTGTAGAAACACGATTCCTGAACATTGTCACGACAGAAAGAAAATACACAAACTTATCTCGAAATTTTACAAGAAAACCGCTGTAATAATAGGTACTTTACATATACCAATTATTAATTTTTTATATCAACTGAACTGAATAGAGCACGTATACGTGAGGCGCATTATAAGTTTCCGGAATGAATAAGAAAAAAATGCTATAAATAGTCAGAAATGAATTTATTTTTTCTCAAAATATTCTCCGTTAGCGTTAATGCACTTTTTCATAAGAATGAACCAATTTTGAAAACATTTATGCCACTCCTCCGTGACAATCTCTGAAACATATTTTTCATACTCTTCGACAGCCTCTTTAAGTGATCAAAATCGTTGACCGCGTAACTGCTTCTTAATTTTTGGAAATAAATAAAAGTCACAAGGTGCCAGGTCGGGACTGTACGCGGGATGGCTCATAAAGTCAACGTTTTTCACTGTCTGTGTGTCTGGCCATATGAAAACTGGCATTTTCGTGGTGCAAGATGATAAGGCGTTTACGGTTATTTTTACGGAGTTTGTCAATAACTGCCGGCAAACAAATGGTCGTGTACCAACCAGTATTCACGGTACAATGACTCTCAAAAGCAGCAGTAGCCACGTGTCCAGTTTTATTTAAAAAAGAAGCAATCATCCGCTTAGAGGCACTTTGCACGCGCGCCACTTTTGTTCGGTTCGGCTCATCTCGAAACACCCACTCGACTTACACACTCGATTGCTGTTTTGTTTTGGGATCGTAACTATAAACCCATGTTTCGTCACCTATTACTATGTCCCACACCAAATTTGACACCCCTTCGTTGAATCTGGTAACCATGGCATTGCACCAAGTGACGCGATCCGTTTTTTGAGCCTCAATCAAATTGTGTGGGATCCACCGAGAGCACAGCTTTTTCACACCTAAATGTTTGTGTAGTATTGATTGTATTTGACTCATGCCTATGCCTAAATATATCCGAATCTCATGATATGTCACATGCCTGACTGATTATAAATAGTCGTCTTGCATGGTGCTTCATCGTCAAAAACAGTTTGAAGCCGAGCGAATCTCAGCTGAGCTGTTAAATAACACTTAAAGTCGTAGAAAATCGTACCGCGAAAATTTTCAGTTAAATCCATGGTGATATAGATAACCAATTTCTAAAATGACGCCACAATGTATAAGCAAGTGACAGTCAGATGAAACAAACGGTATTCTACAGCCAACGTTTCGTGTATTCCAAATCGAAGTTTCGGGCGCTTTACAAAAAAAAACAAATATACGCGATTTAAATCCGGAAAAATAGTTCGTTCGTTCATTTCCTATGTGTAACAATCGTGAAAACCTAAGAACTCGATATAAGGTTCCCGAAATTCCTCCAGCAACATTTTGTGTAAAAATTACACAAAAACGTTAATTGCAGAAAAAGTTAATATTATATTTTTTTACCATTTAGTATTTTAAGATATACCTATAAATCTTCAATGCAATTTTCCTGTGCATACATTCTGCAGGATAATAATACAGCAATTAATATTCGCCTTCGTTTTTTTTTATTATTGAAACGTGGTAGCAAACATGAAGTATAAACCTTCTGTAAATTATGTACTTGTCATCGAATAATTCAAAGCCATTGACATCGTTATGTTAACTACGTTTCAGCTGACACAATTAAATCATGGTTGTTACATGCAACATTTTGACAATAGACATGAGTCTGACAAAAAATGTATAATAAATAAACTGAATTTTAAAATTAATAAATTAAAGATTTTGAACTTAAACACAAAAATTAAAAACGTAATACTAAACTAATTCTTTCAACAATTTGCAGAAATGAAACTGATATCCGGTTACAATCGGGTGTCCGGCCTATTTTTACTATCCTGCCGGATACCGGATATTAGAACAATATCTGGCCGGATACCGGATTTTTAAAACTGAGAAAAATTCATAATCAGTTCGCGAAATGAATTGATTTATTGATTAAAGATGGAGTAATGGAATAAACCGCA